AGAAGGAACTAAGCCGAACAAACCAATGTTCATCCTTCTTCTCTCAAAGGGTTATTCGACAGTGGAACTCCTTGCCAGAGTCTGTTGTGAATTCACCCACTGTGAACGTCTTCAAGACACGTTAGGATAATCATCTGTTAAAGCCCATCAGCCACCTAACATAAATGACGACAAACACTACAAACAAACATACTTGTTTGATTTCAATAGCGTTTTTTATTTCACTAAAATATCACAAGAGAAAGGTCGTACTGGACATGCAGTGAACTTTTTGTATGCTGTCATTCCGCAAACGCCTCACCTTCTCAAAGATTCATATTTCCAAAATATTTCTATGCACTTTCGTACAACGAAAGCTATCTGTAACAATTTTTTGCATATTTCACAAAAACTTATGCATTCCTGCACCGTTCCAATGGCGTTTTTAAGGGCTTCGGTCATTTACTCCAAATAAACTGACTGATACTGACTGAACTAGAAGATGTAGGCCTATTTACAGTTCCCCATTTTTCCCTCTCCTGTCTTTGGTACTGCCTGGTAAATACATCATATCTCTGGATCTGAAGATTTTGTTTGACTTTATAATCAACTCGTCAGTGCAACAAGCACTAATGACTGAAATTACCTCAGGACCTGTCTGAAGGTACCCCGACGACTCTTCTTTTCTACAACCACCTGGCGCTGGAAAGGATATAAATTTCAATGAGTCCGTATAGAAATTCCCGCAATCGCCTCCCCCTTCCCCTATTACCATGACTCATTTGGAGAAAACAACGAGCATAATTGATTGTGTGTGTTTTACCTTTGACATAGTTTCCATATCGACGGCCCGGTGAGAAAGGCCTTACGTATGCACGCCAATTGCTCCTCTAAATTCCTCTTTGTTCTTTTAAAATCCATCTTTTCTATCTTGACATTTGAGCAAGGCACAGATCCCGAGATTAGCAGGATTTATCGATGTCATAATTTCGTGACCTCTTATTCAACTGCAAACGGTCGTTCCTTATTAAGAAGATAGTTAACTGTCCAATTAAGTGTCGGCCTAGAAGGGTGAAAGTTGATAGAGTAGAAGCTATTAGTCTTACATGTGGAAGCATGGTGAAGGAGGAGGCGGAGGTTAGAGGAGGCCGGAGGCGACAGTATCGAACCAATTCCGCCTTTCGATCACCACTGAGGAGCGCAAAAAGTTCCCCATCAACTTCCTGCAGGTCTCCATCAAGTTCACTATCCAGCCGACGGAGGGCCTGCGCTCTGCTCTGGCTAAGACCTACTCTGAAAGCTCCCAGAACTTCCTGGACGCCTGTATCAGCATTCAGTAAATGGTGGCCCTCTACGCGGGTGCCTTTCTGCATAGCACTGTGGAGGGGTGCCGAAAGTTTTCGTCAAATGGTTGGTCGGTACTGTATGAATTCAATCAGGCTGACTTTGATGCCTCCATCGAGTTCATCTGAAACCACATAGATGAGATTGACTTTGCAAAGAAGAACACCAAGACGAATGTAAGCTATAAATTGCTGTCAGTTGATTTGTTGAAACACATTGTTTTCCTGGAAGAGATCTGAACAAGATCCCTGCAAATGTTTGGCTAAAATTATATGTTTGCCAAATTGACTTCTCAAATTATGCATGGGAATATTTGCAGGTTTTATTTTAGTCCAGAATCCAGGAAAATCTGCTATTAGTTTTGATCCGCCGTTGCTACTGGTGCATATATCGAGCCTTCAGAGTCATCTTTCCCAAACGCCCCACCTCGCGCCAGGAAATTAATCACACTTGGGTTGTTTTTGCCC